GGGCTGGACGCGCTCGGTGCCGGTGCAGGCCCCGGCGTGAGCGCTGTCAGCAGCGCGGCTGCCGGGGGCGGTCGTGCGAGGCAGCTTTCAACGTTTTTATTTTCCGCCTGTGCTCGTTGTTACCCGAAACTGCGAGGTGTCAGTTTGTTCCGGGAAGTTCTCCTCTTAGAAGGAAAAACAAAAAATAAAAAAAATTGGGGGTTTGGCTGCCTCCTTTGGGCCGTGGCAAACTTTTCGGGGACGCTGTGGCAGCAAGTGAATAATGTTGAAAAGCTGCGGGTTGATTCATCTCTGCTGCGCGCACCATTTTATACGTGGTCAGGAAGTGGAGTTGCCTAACACTGGTTTTCACCTGATGATGTCACTCCTGAAATTCACTGGAGTCCGGTGAAATTTGCATCACATGAAGGCAGCTCCGGAGCAGAAGTAGTTGAGGAGGAGCGTAAAAAACGGGAAAAAAACAAACCAAAGAAAACAGCATGAGAGCTGTTGATACGTTCACAATATTTTATTTTAAAATGTAGCTTTGCTTTGTGAAGATCTTCTTAACGTGTTGTCTAAAATGGTGTTAAGAGTTATAAAAATAGTAGGCTTTATACTAAAGGATAGCAAAAGGATTGTTTCTAACCTCCTGGCAGGAAGAACAAGCTGTGAGAGTCAAGCTGGGTCGTTCCTTATTCTTATCAGTTCTGCAGAACGCATTATTTTGATAGCTATCCCATATGGTTAGAGGAATTTGTACCACAGTGGTGCTGAAGCTGAGCCGTTTGTATGACTGCCAAAGCGTTTTGTTTAACTGTTAAAAAGTTTTCTTTTTTTTTTTTTTTGCTTTTACTAAAAAAATCTATTGTTTCTGGAAGTAAAAATCCATTCTTGGAGAGACACTTACCAGTCACTGTCACTTCTGAAGGTATTTTACCTGGCTTTTCTATCCTGGCCTGCTGGGATGTGTGACTAGGACAAACATAAATGTTTGTGAAGGATTTCCAGGGTGTGTTGACTGCACAGTATTTCCCCCTCTGCTCTGTCAATGGGTATTTGCTCGGGAAAGGGAAAATAATTTTTAAACAATATGCCTTTTGTATATAAAGCTGCAGACATGGTAGGGTTTGGTACATCACCAGAAACTACTTTTAACTCTCTTCTGGAAACATGAGATTTTAAATATCCAGAAATATCCTTGGTGTTATATTGCCTTGAAACAGGTTTCTGCCAAACTTTTAACTTTGGTACTTTGTGGTCTGCTTTTAAACTCAGTGAAAATACAGAATTTCATTCTGAACTTGCATAGGCTTTGTAAGCTACCTGTTGCTATTAAAAACTTGTATACGCTATAGACAAATATAAAATTAATTTGAAAAGCCACCAAGTTTTTTCTGGCCTACTGATTTCAGCTGTCAGTGCACACTGCTTGCAGTTCTTGGATGTTCAGTTGAAATATTATAAAACTACCCTTTTTTTTTTCTCTTTATATGTTGTTTATCTGTTAATTTTTGTGCCTTTGAAAGCACCTAAACATAAATATACAGGAGAGATAATGAAACCAGTTGTCATTAACAGTTTAAGAGGAAAAAAAATAGCTGAGGGCAGTAATAGGTAGTGTAGTTAAAACTTGCCTGTAGATCTTTTTGTCTTCTCTTTTTATTCATTCTTTCTCGGTTTTCTATCTGCATTTGTTGTTTTCCCACTCTTTCATATACAGTCTCTTCACAGCTCTACCTTATCTGTTCGCTTTTTTCTCTTTACCTCTTACGCCCTGTAGAAAAGATGGTAGATAGATATTTGTCCTGTTGAATTTGTTTTTAGGTTCTGGGGTATGCTCAGAAGCAGGCTTCTGTGTGTCTTGCATTACAAAACCACCCCATTCTATTTTGGTTTGGGCTTTTTGTGGGTTGTTTCCCTCCTCTCCTGCTGATGCGAAGTGGATATTTGTGTGGGGTTTTTTTCTGGCAGTTTTTTGTGGCAGGCTTATATGCTCCTTACAGGCATTTCTGTCTCTTTGTAAAAAGCAGTCTGCAACATGCTTCCCTTTCTGCTTCCAGTGTATTTGGCAAAATGTGGTTAAGAGTAAGGAAATCTAAATGAGATTGTTACACTCATTAAAAGCAGTAATCTATCACTTGTAATCAGAATTCCTGTGATCTTTAAAACACAGTGCCCTGGATGGAAACATGAAGACTCTGAAAAGTGTCAGCGTTGTTCCCTTCCCACTTTTTTATTTTACATTTTCCCTCACTACCTATGTTAAAGCATTTTGCCCTCTTAAGAATCAGTTAGTGTTTCCTTAACCATCTCCATCAAATCACCTAATATGCCACACAGCCCAACTAATGATAGGGCAGGAAAATTATGTACTTGAGGATATATTAACTTGTGTGAATTATGTAGTTTCAGAAGTCTGTTAGCATAGTGAAATTGGAGGGACACACAGCCCTCCTGAATCTGCAGAGGTCATCGGGCTGAGGAGGAAGAGCAGTTGGGTGGGCAGAAGGCTCTGTGTTTTGTCATGTGTATCCCGGGCCCTGCATTTTGTAGGGTAAAATAGAAGGCCCTTGCCTCAGTGGTTTTCTAATTCCGGCTCCATCACGTCAGAGATGTGCTCCTCAAGAGGTTTTCATACCTTGGCTCTTGGTTCCCTTTCCTCTCTCTGCAAAATGCGTGCATATTCACAAGAGACTTCTTCCTTGCTTTGATTTCTTGAGAAGCTTCCAGTTAATGTCCATATGGTCCCTTGTTTCTCTGTCTTCTTGTCCCACTATTGAAACTGTCTCTTCAAATGGAGATAAGAAATCTCTCCTTTCAGTTTTTGCTCAGTGCTTAGGGGGGGATTGTGACTGGGTTAGGGCTGGAGATATTTTCATAGTGACAATTTAGGTGTTGTAGTAGTTGTTACTGAGAGAAAATGGTCACTTGCCTTAGTTTGGTGGGTTTCTTAAGTAGAATGTATACTGTGTTATAGGATGTGTATTGCTTTGCATAAATGTTTTGGGGTTTTGGTAATGTTTTAGCTGTTCCACTTCTAGGGCAGAATTTTGGCAGGAGTATGTGTTCAGTATTGGAGTGAGCTTAAACAGAAAAAAACCTCAACACTCTTGATTCCATTTTACCGGTGTTGAACAGCTTTCCAGTGTGGTTTTTGGTAACCTGGTTTAAAATTATTCTTTGTCAGCTATAAAGGGTTTTTTACGTTCTTTACAAGGAATCACTTTGCAAGCATGCATGTATCTGTCAACGTTGTTGTGATCAGTGTTTGCATATAGCGTTTTGGAAATGTAGTGGAAATAAGATACTCTTTCAGCTGATTCAGAAACTCATTGGCATGGAATAATGTAGAGAGCTCACAGGTACAAATTCCCTGAATTAGGTTACTTATCCTTAATGCTGCGTGGTATCTCCCATAAGCCTTTTTTTTTTTTCTTGGTGAAAAATATTACACTTGCCACTTTAGTTACTTGTCTTTTTCTTTCTGTGGAAATCATCAAAAATAGGTGACATAAGCCAAATGTAATATGTTATTTCCAGAATTTGACGGTTGCGGTAGTGTGAAAAGCTAGTTTCTTTTCCATGCTGCTGCTTCAGGGATTAAAGATGGACTGTGGTTTCAAAGTGGACTTCATGTAAAGTTGGATGCTAGGTGAATGGGGAGAATTTCTGTTTTGATCTCTCATCTCTATAAAAGAGGCTGTTGTGTGCATTCATAACCTTTTTTTTTTTAGGCATTAGGAATGTCTAGTTTGCTCTCCCTTGATTTCATTGCTAAATATATGGACTGAAGCTGGTGGGTTTTGTGAGCACTTGCAAGATGGTAATTTACTACTTGTGTGTCTGTGAAGGTTTTCTTGAGACAAGTTTTTTTTGAATTAAACTTCAGATCTCAGCTCACTTAGCTGGTAAGCATTATTGGAAGCTCTAGTTTGGTTGTATTCTTGCTGTAGGATTGCTTTAGTATAGACATCTGCTTAGCCTTTAATTAGTAGTACTTTATCAACTGAGTGGTGAACAGTCTGTGCCAGTTCCATCCACCTTAGTTTGTGTGACATTTGCTCTTTGCACTATATTGTGACTTGACTCCTTAAGTAGTTCAAAGGTGAATTATCACTTGATGTGTAATTTAACTGGCAGCTTTATAGAAAGAAAAAGTAATTGTGTGCCAGGGAGACTGCAACCGAGTAGCTCTTGGCGTAGGCAGTGCTGCTGCTCATGGAGTAAATGTCTCCAGCAGTTGGGAAACTTCCAAAGTTCATGGGGTGGGAACCTCTTATTGTCGTACCTGCCTCTGTTGTGCAGTGGAGAGGATCACTGGGTGAAACTTGGGAGCCAAGATTTCTCTTGGCCTCCTTCCTCGTTGTTCCTTTAATGTTTATCCCCTCCCAAGGCTCACTTACCAGTTGGTCAGGTCACTTGCAAAATCAGTTCATAAGTAGAGTTACGAATGGAGATGAAGGGAATGAGGGGGAGTGGTGACTTGCACTTGATTTCTTTCAAATGGCTGGTTTTCTTCTGTATTAAATGTTTGGAAAACTAGACTTGGGTGTTTCTAAAAGGGTTTGGAGTTAGTTGCATCAGCTCTTGCTTCCTGAACAACTGCGATGACGTGTAGGTATAGAGCTCATTCTGGCCTGAGGAATAGCTGGTATAACTTTCTCCTCTGGTGTCATACTTTCTAGTTCTCTGTTCCATGTTGACTTTTTTCTTTGGAAAACTACTTTTCCCCAAAGTTTTAATTTTCCTGGCTTGCTTTATTCATATTCAGTTTCTAATTGATGGACCTGTTTTCTCCATCAGCATGGTCTGTAGCCTGTGAAGGACAGCCGTTTTCAATATACAGGGCTGAAGTAAAAAAAAATCATTGGTGTAAGTTGAAATAAAACCTAAACACA